GAGTCAACCTGTGAGATAACGGTGACACAACCTTGCTCGCCCGAAAGTGAGGAAGACTTGAAGTGCACTTACTGATGAAGATCATCCTTCAGTATGGATTCCAGCTCAATTTAAAACAATCCTCAGGCAACATCATGATGTAGAAAAGACTGAAGCTTTACCTTTCATTTCACTTGGACCCACAATCAACGCCCATGAAAGCAGCAGTCAAGAAATCAGTATTGTATTGGGTCAACTGCAAAAACCCTCTTTCAAGTACTAACAAGCCTAGATGTCGCGGTGAGGACTCATGTGCACTTGGCCCATGCCATGGTCCTTTCAATCCTGTGTATGCTACAGCTGGACAATGAATAAGGAAGATCGAGGATGCCTCTGAATTATAGTGACGGTGAAGAATATTGAAATAATGATATAATCAACAGACCTAGATGAAACAGCGAGAATGCTCTTTAGAAGCAAGAATGGGGAGACTTCGTCAGTACTTAGGACGCGTTCCCGGGAAGGCGCAACCCCTTCAGAAGGTTGTCCTGTTTGCAGGAGGATAGGTGAAAAAGGGGATTCGCACCGTGGCTTCAACAGTGGCAATCGAATGAGGATGGTGTAGGGCCAAGCAGTAAATCTTTTTGTTGTACATAAGGTCTCTCGCTGCGAATCGGAACCGACTGTCAAGGGCCCCAAACGCCAATAACCATTTACGGTTCTGAGGGCGAAAGGCACCAGATAGCCTTGGTTTCCAGGAGGGAGCCACATTTTCCCCCTTTAAGGGGTTCAGGGAAGTAATTCAACTCCGGTTCGAGGAAAATCCAGTTCTCAGTTTCTCTCTTACTTTGTCTCCGTCCGTTTTCACTAGCCGCGTAGATCAGATGTTGGCCAACGCTACTGGACTCCGGCTCTTCCACGGTCTCCTAGCAGGGCGGAACCGCGGCTCCGGAGTCAAGAGCAAAGGGCAGAAGAAAGTGCAAGGTGCCGAAAGACAGACGAGCGCGGGCTTCACGGAACTACAACTCCCAGGATGCCCTGCGAGAGGCGTCGAAAGCGGTTGGTTGGGAGCGCTAGCCCCACCGCCCTCTGGCCAATGGGACGGAGGAGAGAGGCCTGACTCGGATTTTCGGGGACCAATGGTAGAACAAAGGAGGCGGGTATTTTCCGCCTACTCACCGTGTGCTCAGAATAGTTACATTTAAGAGGTCGTCTCGGTGCGGTTTATCTCAGGCGGGGACACTGAGCCTGAGGTAGCGGAGAGGCTTCCTCGAGAGCGGTGCCCGGGGCATCCGGGTCGCAGAGAGACGCCTCGGGACGCCCTTAGGGGGCGGAGTCAGGGGCGGGGCCTGGCCTCGTTGTGGAGCGGCTCGTAATCCATCATGGCGGCCGAGGGGGTCGATGCCTTTCCCTGAGCAACGCTGGAGCCGGAGCCGGTTTCTGGGTCTTGCCGCTGACGTACCCTCCCGTTGCCCACAGTCTCTCTCGGCCGGGGGAAGCCGGGTCCCGCGGCGGATCTCGGGGAATGCAACTGCTTGGCGGCGGCTGCGGGTGCAACGTCCGGGACCGGGGGAGGGGGTGCCTCGGGCTGAGCCCCTAGGCTTGGGGGCAGCTAGGCGGCAGGGCCTCCTCCCCGCTTCACCAACCTGCCGACTGCGGGGTCGCGAAAGCAGTTCATCCCATACAGCCCCATCCGGGCTTATGGGCTCCAGGGGGGTGGTCTCCGCGCCCCCCAGACCTGGGACACCCTGTTCCCTGAGGCGTGGAGGCGCATCGCCCCGGAGGAAGCTGCCTGTGCCCCACCCCGGCAACCTCCTCCTTCCTCAAGCTGCCCTTTATTCCCCGGGGGAGCCCCTTCATTCAAATTGCCTCTCTGCTGACAAGTGGCCTCTCTCCCCCTTTACATCCCCTTCACCCCCAAATTGTTCCCGGGAGCTTCTAATGCCCTGACTTCCAATGTCACCTACGGCCCCCTTGGTCTCAGCTCAGCCCAAAACTTTAATGCAAAGGAAAAGTCTGGACTGGTTCCACCGGCCTTTTAAAAAGCGAACTTAAAAGTCGTTGGCAATGCAGTCCTTTCCGACACGGTGGAGGGCAAGCGCTCGCTGAAAATCTGGGTGACCCCGAGCCCTTTTCCGGTGTTAAGGGTCCATCCACTGGAGCAGCAGCTGGGTTCGGCAGGAAATTTGTTGGAAGATGAAGAGACTAAGATAGGGGGTGGGTGACTTCCCCAGGAAAAGTTCGGAGGAGCCTACACAGAAGATCAACATTTCCTCCAAATGTGGGAAACCAAATGACTTTAGAATCCTTGACCCTTTTACAGCATTCCCTGTGAATATTTCTGATTTAAGTTTTACCTCACTGCGAAAGGAAAGACACTGCCAGTAAAACACACTTTGGATCAAACGTTGGGTGGCTTTGCAGGTACAACTGCCCGTGACAGTACATCGCAATTGTGAAAAGAATCGGAACTCCTGTTTACATGAGTCCGTCTCAGAACTGGGATTTCATCCTTGTTTCCGAAGATGTGTTTGGGTGATTGATCTCAACTTCCTGACTTGTGGAGATTCGGGTGAATGTGAAATCCCACCTCTATACCGCTTTCCTTTAAGCTGACTGACTCATCTGGGATAAATCTTAAACCCTTTTCCGGAAAGGGGTGCCTATCATTACTTTATGGGGCAGCAGCCTGGAAAAGTTCTTGGGGACCAACGAAGGCCAAGTTTGCCTGCCCTGCACTTCATCAAAGGAGCAGGGAAGAAGGAGTCATCCAGGCACGGAGGTCCACACTGCAACGTTTTTGTGGAACATGGTGAGTGCTTTTCAAGGTTTCTGAAATTGTGCTTTTCTGTACGTATGTCACTCAGACCACCAGCGAGCTGATGAACACTGGGTGCCAGTTCCTTCTAGGACTGCCTAGAAGTTCCTGAGCTGGCTTATCTCCTAATTTCTGGCAGAACTTTCTCTGTATAAGAAGAAATCCCTTGGTGACTGTATAACTTTGATTCAAGAACTCTCTGAGTTGCTTATGCTTTACTTTATTCATGGTCACACTTGTGGTTGACCTTGATCTAGCTCTCAGGGTGCCAGGCCCTCCGTTTCTGGAGGAGGTTGGATTTTGGTTGTTCCGTAGGATGATAATTCTGTTCTCATCAAAGAGCATGAGAGTGCCTACACGTTTCGGGGGAGAGGGGAGTGGGGGTGTTGATGAATTTTACCACATTCTCAAAGTGGCTTGTGCTCCCCAAATGGTTGAGAACCACAGACCCTAGTTGGCACAAATATCTGTGACCTTCTCAATCGTAAGTAGGACTTGGAAATCCTCACTTTGGAGCTCTGTGGGAAAAATCGAATGGAGAAGCAGCCTTCCTTGTGATTTGAGGACACACCAGCCGCCAAACCAAACCCAGGGCCATCACCGCAGTCCTCCAGGACAGAGGAGCACGACCTCCTTTGGGGTTTTGAGATTTTAAATCTGTATGCGTAGACATCCTCATTTTGTAAGTCTAAGAACAGGTGGCCTCATCTTCTCCCTCAGAGTGGCTGGTTAGCTCTTAGAAACCCACTGTATCACCAGGACCCCCGAGGACAGCCAGCCTTGAGTTATTTTACCTTCCCCTGGGAGTCATCCTTTTCCTCATTGAAGGAGCTCTCCACTTCTGGTCTCCTCTGTGTACTGGAGTGCTGACCAAGCCTCAAACCCATTGCCATCCAGTTAATTTTGACTCATATCGACCCAATAGACCAGTGGTTCTCAACCTTCCTAATGCCGCGACCCTTTCATACAGTTCCTCATATTGTGGTGACCCCCCAACCATAACATTATTTTCGTTGCTACTTCATCACTGTCATTTTGCTACTGTAATGAATCGGGCGACCCCTGTGAAAGGGTCGTTCGACCCCCCCCAAAGGGGTTGGGACCCACAGGTTGTGAACCGCTGATTTAGAGTGTGGTGCGGTAGGTGACACATTGGTCAATAGTTCAAAACTACAAGCCTCTCCCAGGGGGAAAGATGACACTTTCTACTCCTGGCTAGGTTGTCCAGAGAAACAAATCTAGGAACTCATTTATGTATACGGAAGCGCTTTATATCAAGTATTAATCCCCAGGTCCCTCTTCAGACTTACGTAACCTCATGCTGGTGCTGCAGGCTGGTGAACCAGGAAACAGAACGATCAGAGGCCAGTGGGTGCAGAGGTGCGTGCATCCAGAGTCAACGGAGACATGGCAGCTTGCTGGCAGCTCTTCGGGTTAGCAGCCGACAGGGGGTCAACCTCTCCAGACAGGCAGGCAAGCAGGCAGAGTGCCAGCAGGCAGGAAAATTGAGGGTTGGGTAGAGGCAGTTCCCAGAATCCCCCACTCTTACACAAACGGCTTATGACATCCAGGAGGTGTCATCAGGCTGCGACTTGAGTGACAGGTTGGACTCCACCCTTAGCCAGAAATGTCTAATTGACATAATCCCTCCCATATTTCATAAAGGGTTAAACAAAAAACCAAACCCACTGCTGTCCAGTAGATGCCAACTCAGTGTCCTACCGGACAGAGTAGAACAGAGCCCTGTCTTTCTCGCGTTGCGCCCCATCTTTCTCCGGCGAAGTCCTGTCTTTGTCCCAAAGAGCAGCTGGTAGTTTGAACTGCCAACCGCGAGGAGCAGCTCAACGTACCACCACTCAGCTACCAGGACAGTCTCCGAACCCCCAGGGGCAGTTCCCTTTGAGTCAGAATTGACTTGATGGCAGCGAGGTGGTTTTTCCTTCCCTCATCTCAGAAGATGAGAGAGCTAGTGGCTTGGATGATCGAGGTTGTGGCCGTCGGTGAAGGATTTCAACACAAACTCAGATGGCCATTGAGGCGATGCCGACTCATAGTGAGGCTCCAGGATAGAGCTCCAGGGGATAGTAGCGCCCCCCCATGAGTCTCTGATACTGTTTAGGGAGTAGAAAGCCCCATCTTTCCCCACAGACCAGCTGGTGGTTTTTTGAACTGGACCCACAGCCCTATGCATGACCACTACGCCACCAGGGCTCCTGGGTGATAACATTAGTTCTGTAAATATTTGAGGGCAGAGCTGACTGGGTTTGCTCTTGGATTAGATGGGGAATGTGAGAGATGTCCAGAGTGACACCAAGGTGTTTGGACTGAATAGCTGGAAGAATGGAATTGACTTTGAAAATATAAGTTAGGAGGTTTTTTTTTCTTTTGGGGGGTGGGTTGGGGAAGGGGTAGTGATGAGGAAGAGTTAAAACCCAAGAACTTAAAAAATATATAATTTTATTGGGGCTCGTACAACTCTTATAACAATCCATCCATCCATCCATTGTGTCAAGCCCATTTGTACATTTATTGCCATCATTTTTCTCAAAACATTGGCTTTCTACTTGAGCCCTTAGTATCAGCTCCTCATTTTTCCCCCTCCCTCATGAACCCTTGATAATTTATAAATTATTATTATTTTTGCCATGCTAAGAGCTTCTTTTTGAATATGCTACCTAGGAGCCCCGGTGGCACAGTGTTACACACTGGGCTGCTGATTGTAAGATCAGGGGTCCCAAACCACCAGCCAGTTCAGGGAGTAAGACAGCCTTTTCTGCTCTCTTAGAGTGCTTGTGGGTTTCCGACTCTGTAACTGTCTTTCTCCCACAGAACCAGCTACTGTGGGGGAGAAAGATGGGGCTTTCTACTCTGGTTAGGCGCTATAGACTCGGAAACTCAGAGGGGCAATTCTACCCTGCCCTGTAAGCTCACTATGAGCCAGCACTGCCTAGATGGCAGTGAATGAGAAGATGACGTCCAGTAGTTTATAAAGTTAAGAGTTTACCTTTTTATATAATAAGATTAATTTGAATATTTCTTTTTGGTGGTTGAGGGATGATATTTAAGTTTTACATGGAACTCAGTTCACCTTAAAGTTTCAAATTCTTTTTGTGGATTATTATCTTCCTACAAAGTCAGGAAATTAGATTTAATAAAGAAAAACATTTCGTGGTAGTGAATGTCTTAAATATAAAATGTCTTCAGTGTTAAAATTTGTAGTGCCTTTAATGCTTAAAAAAATTGAGACAAATATATTTTTATACTTCTAATTTTAAGTTAGACCATCTATATCCTTTAAGGTATTGCTTATTAAATTCATTTGTATCTGCTCTTTTATTATGAGTTCAACTGAAAAATTAACTTAAGAAAGTTTAAAAGTACTTTACAGTTCTCAGAACTTTATTCTAGGGGCATGATGAGTCATAATCAGCTTGGCAGCAATGGGGTTTTGGTTTAATAATAACTCTAACATGATAACCATGTAATTCCCATCACTGATTTTTATAGTTAACACCCCTACACATTAGGAGGTCTGGAAAAGGCAACTATTATTAAAGTTAATTCAGATTTTAAAAGAGATTTTTAAAAAGATAATATCCACCCATGTTTGTTAGGAATTGGGTTGTAGCATGTGAACTATGAAGATGCAAAATTGTGTGTTGTGTGCCTGTTAGGTACTGTATCTGCCCAGTTGTTTCCGATAGTCGAATATGTCTTCTCTTTCATGAACCCTCTTGCCTGTTTTAAGAAATAGGCTGTAGTACTCATCTAGAAGAAAGCCAGTGGATGGGGGAGGTAAAGAAGGATGACCAAGGGCAAAAGGCCATTTCCCTTTATTTAAATGAAGTATCCAGTTGGAGAAAATAGAACTTGGAGACCATGTGGAACCATTTTTACTGCTATGCTTCTGGTCTCGGTGTGATGTGTTGTGAAGTGTATAAGATCCATATTTTAGTAGAAGGGAAAGGAGTGAGTTAACAAGATTGAGCTGGGAATTAGACCAGTGTAAGAGTTTGTCAGTCATACTATCTGAGTTGAAGGGTGGGGTGGGGGAAGGCGCTCTGGCCGGGTAGTGGTTAGACAATGGGAGGCTAACTGCAAGGTTAGCAGTTCAAAACCACCAGCTGTTCCAAAGATGAGGCGTTCTACTTCCGAAAATTGATTCAATGGCAGTGAACGAGTTCCTACTTAGGAAGTTTTATCAGCGTGAAAACTTAAACGAAAAATTTAAAAATTACCAGGATGAGAAATAGATAAACTCTGGCACCAACAAACAACATCTCCTAAAATCTCGGGTTAGGTCTGTATAGACATAGACACGAGATTACATAGATAGATCCGTTTCTGACATTGCGTGTTTCTCTGTCTAGTCTCCGAGCCCTGGTGCCATAGTGGGGTACACTTTGGGCTGCTAGCACAAACGTCAGTAGTTCAAAATCACAGGCGACGCCATGGGAGGAAGAGTAGGCTTTCTACTCCTGTGAAGTGGGCTGGTCTACCCTGTCTTGCAGGGTCGCTATGAGCAGGAATCGACTCCGTGGCAGTGAGCTGAGTTGTTGAATTTTACCATCTTTTTGCCTTACGTGCCTTTAGGGCTGTGGATTAGTAATTTACTGAACGAATGCTCTTGAAATTACTGCTGTGGACCTAACCTTCGTTTTAAAGTAGCTTTGTCCCATCAATTCTCACTCACAAATCAATGCCGCTGAGTCCGTTCTGACTCATAGTGACCCTTTGGTCAGAGTATAACTGCCCCTGTGGGTTTCTGAGACTGTAAATCTTTATAGAGTAGAAGGTTTCAACTTTCTCTGGGGGAGCAGCTGGTTGGTGTTTTCAAATTGCTGCCTTTGCAGTTAGCAGCCCAACACATCGAGTATTTCACTATACCACCAGGGCTCTTTTCCATTCAAGTAAAAAAGATTAAAACTCACTGCCATCAATTCTGACTCACAGAGACCCTATAGGGCAGGGATAGAAATGCCCCCTGTGAATTTCTGAGTGTAACCCTATACAGGAATAGAAAGCTCCATTATGCCTTTTCCTGTGGAGGGGCTGGTGGTTTTGAACTGCTGACCTTGAGGATAGCAGCCCAACATGTAACCACTACATTATCAGGGCAGGTTTCAAAAAGTTTGTGGAAAAACAAGATTAAAACCTAATGGAAATTTCCCACAAACTCTTTGAAGCCCCCTTGTATATGCTCATGTTTAAGGGACCCTATTTTATCTTCTTTGTCGTCTTATTATTGTTTAGATTTTATTGTGAATTGAGTGAAGGTTTACAATGCAGGTCAGTTTTCCGTTCAACAATTCAGATACATTTTGTTACATGCCGGTTGCTATCCCCACAATGTAACATCACTAATTTCACTTCTGTGTTTCCTGTTCTCAGTCCTCCTTTCTAAAGCCTTCTGAACTTTGTCCTAGGGTAAATATAGCCTGTTTGATCCCAAATAGTTGATTATTCTAAGGTGTGCATACCTCCCTAGTGTTATTGTCCTTAAAGACCTGTCTGCTGTTTGATTGTACATTGAGTGAAGGGGGTGCATTCATGTCCAGACTTGAAGCAGAATTAAAGGCTATACTCTGCGGGGTTTAATCAGTCTCTGTCTGACCAGCAAACCTGGCCTTTTAAAAAAAAAATGATTTTGAGTTTGGTACCTACTCTATCTAGGACCTATTAATATGACTTTTCAGAGAAATTGGTAGTGGTAACCAGGCAACATCTAGCTCTTCTGATGTCTTGGTCATGGAAGCTGATATTTGCATGGTCCATTTGAATAATTGTTTCCATGTGTCTTTGATTTTCATCATTCTTTTCTCTGGACAAGGAGGGACCAATAGGTGTACCTTAGGTGGCTGCTTACAAGCTTTTAAGATCCCAGTCCCTACTCACCAAAGTGCATTGTGCTAAGTACAGTGTCAGCAGTTTGAAACCACCAGCCACTCCACAGGAGGAAGATGAGGCTCTCTGCTCTCCTGTAAAGATCATTTTATCGGGGGCTCTTAGAACTCTTGTTACAATTCCTACATCAATTGTATCCGACATATTCGTACATATAGTCCATTGTTCTGTTCCAGACATTTACTTTCCATTGAGCCCTTGGGATCAGCTCCTCCCCCCCCTCTCTCCAGCCCTCGTGGGCCCCTGATAGATTATAGAATAATGTGTTTAGCATTATTTTACTCTTGCACTCCTCACTGCGTCTGCCTCTGATTCTGCAGCTTGTCCTCACCTCCCTCTCACTGTATGTTGCCTTCCCCTTCAGCCCAGTCAGCAAGTGTCTGTTTACCCTCCCACCCCTGGTAACCTTCCAAGAATGTTTCTTTCGGTGTGAAAACCTCTTTTTGACTCCTAAAAAATAGAGGTTTCATACAGTATTTGTCCTTTTGTGATTGACAGATTTCAGTGAGCATACATCATGTCCTCCAAGTTTATCGATGTTATGAGATATTTCCCAGATTCATTGTTAATTTTCCAACATTGCATAGCACTCTTGTGTGTGTGTACCCTAGTTTATCCATTCTTCTACCAACGGGCATTTAATTTGCTTTCCCCCGTTTGCTGTTAGGGAAAGTGCAGCAATGAACTTCGTGCGCACGGATGTGTTGGTGTCCCAGCGCCCGTTCTCTAGGAGGTATACCAGGAGGGCGGATTGCTTGGTCAGCTGGTTTTGTGTTTCCAGCTTCTTAAGGGAGTGCTGTTCTGTTTTCCCCGGGGATTTTACCATGCCGCCAGCTGTGTATGAGGGTTCTCGTCTCTTCAAAGCCTCGCCATCATGTGTTTTTGTTTCCGTTTGAACTTTGCTATTAATGCTGGGTGATAGGATAATCCCTTTGTTTTGACTTGTATTTCCTTAATAGCTGATGCACTTGAGCATTTCTTCACAGGGCCACCTGAATCCCTTTTTTGGGTGAACCATCCGTTTTCATCCTCTGAGGGACTTGATTTTAGCGCCTCGATCATTTGCATGTTAATTGCTCTCATTTATTTCTTCTGGACCATTTTCCTTCATTTTGGAGCCTTTCATAAGTTCTTTTGATGGCAACATATGTATAAATATGCTTGATACAATTGATGTATGGATTGTTATAAGAGCTGTAAGCACCCCCAATAAAATGATCTTTGAATAATAATTTTTTAAGAGATAGATCTTGAAATGCAAAAAATATATATATATATTTACAACCCCCCCCCAAAAAAAAAAGTTCTTTTACTGTGTCCTGTAATAAGCACTGAGGCCTGAAGAGATAGTGTTTTTGTCAGATTGACTCATTCAGTAGCAACCATCTCCTGTTGCTCTTACCGTAACATCACTGGAGAAATGGAAGAAGACCTTTGTGAAATCCAACAAAAAACTGCTGTTCACAGGCTGTATTCCCAATGGTGAGACCATCCTTCTCTGACCTTTTCAATTGAGTACTAGGGGGTTATGGCTGAGAACTTTATTGAAAACTCTCAAACTCAAACTCACTTCCATTCAGTAAACTCTGATTCATAGTGAACCTATAAGACAGATAGTGCTGTCTTACAAACCTGGTGAGTTCCTGAGATTGCAACTCTTAGCAGGAGTAGAAAGCCTCCTCTTTTTCCGCATGGAGCGGCTGGTGGTTTCAAACTGCTGACCTTGTGGTTAACGACCCAATATACAAGTATCCTTTTAATAATAACATTAATTCTGATAATAAAGTAATAAATATTAGAATACCTATTGCTTGTTCTAACCATTGTTAGTATAATCAAATGTATTATGAAATATGTTGCTAAGGTCAGGCAAAAATATGCCCTAAAACAGCTAGTGTATATTGCTGCTGTACTCTTTTTTTTTTCTTTTGCTAGAACCTTTAATACAAAATATTTATTGACAAAAAACCCCTTTCATCAGGCCAGAGGCTGAGCTGGGGCTGCCCTGCTGGCAGCTACCACTGCAAACATATAGAGTGGCTCAGGAATGTGCATGTCACCCTTGTGCAGGGGCCATGCTAATCTTCTCTGCATCGTTCCAATTTCAACATATGTGCTGCTGAAGTGAGCACTGCTGTACACTTTTGTAAGAAGTGGCTGGGTCCTGCACCCTGAACTATCTTTTCTGAAAAAGCCAAGTTACTCCGCTTCAATTTGGTTTGAGTATCCAATTGGTGTATCCCATATTCATAGTATGGTGAAAATAGACCCAGAACATGGTGAAAAACCAGGTGGTATCCAGCTGAGAATGCAGGCAGTCAACCTGAACAACAAAACCCAAGCAGCTGAGGATTTAAAGGCCTAAAACTTACTGGCCGCCATTATGGAAGCCTAGACCATGCTGAAGATGATGTAAAGCCATACGAAAACTAGTGATAATGTAACCAAAGGATGTTCAATTGAAATCCTTGATCAAAAGGAGGGGTTGATACAGAGCTTGAAACCCTCAAAAAGTTTATAGGTGCTTGGCCCTAGTAAGAACAGTTTAGAATAAGTCACAGTTCCCCCTTCACCTAATTGTATGATGGGAACACTGGACACAAGCGGTTTCTCCCTGGGTTGATTAGTGTACCTGAGTAAAACAACGGAGGACCTGTTCCTTGATGTGTGTTATCTGATTTATGATAAAGGTTGGGGTTCTGTGGTCTTATAACCACCTTGTGACTATGACTCAGGGTTGCATGATCATAAGTTGATCCCAGACGTCGCATAGCCAGTAATTAAAAACATAAAACCATTCCTGTGACCTTTCTAAACCTGTAATTACATGCAACCCCAAACCCAAACTGTTGCTATCGAGTCAATTCTGATTCATAGTGACCCTAGGGAGGGTATTCAAGGCTGTAGATCTTTATTTCTTTCCTTATTTTTTTT